GCCCCTTAAAGGTAGGGTTCTCAAGGCTCCTGCACCAGGAAAAGGAAAAGGCGTCTGCCTTCCTGGGTGTAAAGATGGTTGGTTTTCACCCATTCAGGCACCTCTCACCTTTCGTGTACAGCACGAGGGCAAACGGGCTGTGGGCTAGCTGTGTTAGAGTCCCATCTGCAGTAGAGACTGCAGGTACTCGAGGGCTATTTTATTTTCATTACCTTGACTAAACCAAGCCCAGGTGTCAATGTTCTGTCACCTTAGTTGGGTATTAGGAAGTGTGTTTCTGGGCCCCAGGACCATGCAGGCAGGCAGGCCATGGTGGGATCCAGGTAGAGGAGAGGCAACATGAGTTAGATCCCTGGCCCCAGACCCAGACCCCAAAGATGGACGAGAGTCGCATGATGGACCCTGTCTCCCTGTGTTTTCCAGACGTTACATTTTCTCCGTCGTAGAGAGCCTTCAGAGGTTGTGCTACATGGGGCTGCTGCAGTTTGGTCCCACAGAGAAATTCCAGGATAAAGATCAGGTAATGTCTTCCAAGCCCAAGGAAGGTGGTCCTGACAATCGGATATGGTACCCCAACCCGGTGCTGATTTTGCTGCTTTGGGAGCTCCTCTCTTCCCCACTCGCTGTCTCTCTTGTAGGTCTTTGTTTACTTGAAGAAGAATGCAGTCATTGTTGACACCACCATCTGTGACCCACATTACAACCTCGCGCGCAGCAACCGGCCCTTTGACAGGCGTCTCTATGTCCTCGACTCCATGCAGGATGTGGAAAACTACTGGTTCGATCTGCAGTGCGTCTGCCTCAATACCCCACTAGGTACTGTCAGCTTTGACTGGCCTCGCTGCTTCTTCTTTTCTGTGGGACCACAGGGAGTTTGAGCTGGAGGAGACTAGAGACTGCTCTGGGTCCTAAGTGTCCTTGGTGGTCCCTTAAAGGAGATGTGGCCTTCAGTAGGGGGTGACAGGCCTCCCACAGTTTAGTCCAAGCAGCTCCATTTTGTCTTCAGTCATTTATTTGTTGTTGTTGCTGTTTTTGTTATGTGCCTTCAAGTCGGACCCAGTTCATAGCTACCCCTCGTTGGGTTTCTGAGGCAGTATCACCATGGAAGTAGATTGCCCCATCTTCCTTCCGAGGAGTGGCTGGTGGATTTGAACCACCAGCCTTCATTTATTTAGTAGGTATTTATTGAACACCTACTGTTTGTCATGTCCTGCACACCTGTCCCTGCCGTCATGAGACTTCACTGTGGAGGAAATAAGCAAGGTGGTGGGATGCAGGGTGATGATTCGAGGGATGTTAGATGGGGTGGTCAGAAACTCACTTCTGAAGGGAAGATCTTTGAATAAGACCTAAAAGATGATGCTGAGCTGGCCAGCCCCAGAGCTGGGAAGAGATTCTAGGCCAGGGACGTAGCAGGTGCAGAGTCCCTGAGTGGACCTGGGAGAAACGGAAGAGGCCATGTGGCAAGGAGGAAAGCTGCTGCTGAGAATGGAGTAGACAGGAGCCAGCCACGGGGGCCTTGCAGACATGGTGAAGAGTTTAGTTTTATTCTAACAAACAACAGCAATGGCCGTTGCACCTGGGAGAGCAATCGTTCCGTTCTCCAGTCCCAGAGCTGAGAGTTAGCTTATACTTGGGTTTGTGCAAAGCAGGAAGCATGTTCTTCTTGGGTGGGATTGTTTCATGCCAGCAGGGTAGTGAGCACTCGGATTTAGAACCTTTAATGGTGCAGACGAATTTGAGAACAGTGTGTTTCATAAATCCTGGCATCTAGTCGTGAGCCAAGCTTTCACCATTTTAGGTTTTGAAAGTGCCCTGATTCCCCTGCATTTTATACCCAGATAAAGATTTACAAACCAGCATGTTATTTGCACCAGAGTTTTCCAGGCTGACAACTGGTGAATTTCCACCCCGTTTAGTATTTGTGAGCAGAAGTGCTGGAGCCTCACTTAACCCATAAATCAGACACTGATTGTCTTTTCATTCACAAACGTTTGAAGAGGTTCTTCCCCACGGATGGAGGGACACGTCATGTCAGAAGCATAGTAATCAACCTTGAAAGCAGGGGCTCCCCAGGTATTTGTGTGAATTACCCAGGGAGCATTTGAAAATGCTGATTACTGGGCCCTGTACAAGTTTCAGATTTGGCAGACCTGGTGAATGGCCTGTAAATCTGCATTTACAACAAGGAGCTAAGTAATGTGGCTGCTGTCTGCACATAAGACATATTATCTTAAAACCAAAAACCTAAGTCACTGCCATCGAATCAATTCAGACTCACAGCAACCCCTTTTGGGTCTCCGAGGCTATAAATCTTTACGGAAGTAGATTGCCCTATCTTCCTTCTGCGGAGCAGCTGATGGGTTTGAACCACTGACCTGAGCAGCTGATGGGTTTGAACCACTGACCTTCTGGTTAGAAGCCAAATGCCTTAGGTGCTGTACCACCAGAGCTCCTTTAGTACTCTTACTCAGCTGTGCATTCAGATGGAATGATCTTGGCAAGCCACTGTATCTTCCCTGAGCCTGCATTTCTTCTTCCCTAAACTGGGAACAGTACCGCTGCCTCAGGCTGAAGTGAAGCTTAAACTTGGTGGGGAGAGATGGCGAGAGGTGAATTTTACTCACTGCCCAACACACCAATCCAGTCCATGCCCTCAACCCAAGGTCTCAGAGCATGTTATGAGAGGGATTTTGGTCATTCAGAAACTACCATAACTTTTGTTTTCTTTGTCCTACTCAAGCATTGGTTTCAGTAGTACCTTGTATTTTCTCGCCAGAAATGCAATTTTTACTGTTTCCTACTAACAACTTAGTTTCTCAACTATGTTGATACACGTCTTGGATACCCAGGAAACATCTGCTCCTGGAGCCCAGCTGGGCCTAGGGAGAGGACACCATCACACATGATCTGACCAGATCTCTCCCAACCCCCAGCCCATGCCATCACTACCAAGTGCAGTAATTTTTGCTGATTGCTTCCAGCATCCTGGCACCCAGGGCCTCCCGGGGCTTTCCGTTTCCCCGGGAACCTCAGTAGGGAAGGCCTCTGCCTTCTGCCTGCCTGTCTGGTCCTCTGGTCACCTGGCAGTCTGCCTTCCCCCTTAACAGGGTTCAGCCTGGCCGCACAGCCTTCTCAGGATCACACAGTGGTGGTAACTTTCTTCCTCCTGTCATCTCTGACTCCTTTCAGCAGGGTGTTCGTAAGATGTTTTATACGAAGAGATTCTCTTGGTTTCAGACCCTCTCGTCTGCACAGGAGAGCCTGTTCACCAGAAAGGGAAGCCATTCTTCCCTCCCCCTAGCGGCAGCCACAGCCTGCCCAAAGCCGGTGGGCAGGGCTCGTCATTCGGCTTGTGTGTGGTTTTCTAGGTGTGGTGCGTAACCCGCGAGCCAAGAAGAACAGCAACGTCGATCAGGGCAGCGACGAGGAGGGCAGTCTGCAGAAGGAGCAGGAGAACGCCATCGACAAGCACAACCTGGAGCGCAAGTGCGCCATGGTGGAGTACACCACGTACGTCCGGCCCTCGGCGCCTTCCCGGGGCCCAAGCCCTCCACCCCTCCCTCAGGAGGTCACGGCCAAGAGGGCCTGAGCGTCTGGCTCACAGGCTGCCAGTTGGTGGCCATACGCCCAACTTGGCCTCCAGACATGCTTTATTTGGCCCACGTATGGTTGAATGAAAGTGGACCTGTTGACAACCTTCAAAAACTGGAAAATTTTACATAAAAGCCTGCATTTCTGATTTATGTCAGCAATAGGGCTCCCAAGTTCTTCATTTCTGCCTGTCAGATGTTCCTCTAGGCAGATAATAAACCAAAAAAAACCCAAAAGTTATAATAATGGTTGTAAATCAGTGCCCAGCCCCACTCTGGAGCCCCTTCGCTTACTGAGGACGGCTCTTTCTGTGCTTTTGGCCATCTCTCAGGGGGAGCCGCGAGGTCGTGGATGAAGGTGTGATCCCCGGAGACGGGCTGGGAGCTGCTGGGCTTGATTCTAGTTTCTACGGACACTTAAAGCGCAACTGGATCTGGACCAGCTATATCATCAACAAGGCCAAAAAGGTGGGCGCCCACTGGTGGACCAGCACCTCGGCCTCCTCTTCCTCCTTTCGCTTCCCAGCTTCTGAGCTGGTGAAAGCAGAATTGACTGCTGTATGACTGAAGGTGGGCCAGGCCCTGAAACACCTGCCTGGCCCATTCTGTTTTCAGTAGACTCTCACTTCTCTGTGAAATGGCTGGGTGGCCCTTTTTAAGGAGTAGAGAGTCTTCGTGTCACAAGGTCAGATGAGAGGAGAGTGTGTGTTCAGTGAGAAAACAGGAAAAAGCACAGGAGAACCCCAGCCCAGAGCCGGCTTCCTCAGACACTTGGGTATTTCACTGCCTCTGTTGCTCTGGGCTCTTGGGAATTTACTGAAGCTTCATTCCAGTGACATCCTTGTGTTTTAGGAGAACATCGCCTCAGAAAATGGGCTCATGATGAGGCTCCAGACGTTTCTGACCAAGCACCCACTGCCACTCGGTACTGGAGGTAAGTAAGCTGGCAGTTCGCCCCCAAAATAGGCATGCTACCAGTTCGGGACCAGAGCGACCACCATAGTTTCCCTTCCTGTCTGGTGTTTGCAGAGCTCATCTTTCAGTTATGTTCCCTGTGGGTATTTCTAGGCAATAGCAAGCTGAGTATCTGGGGAGAGACAAGAGCGACACCGGAGCTCTCTGCCGACAAGGAAGAGCAGTTTGACATGGACAGAGAGCCCACATTGGACAGAAACAAGAGAGTGAGGGGCGGGAAAAGCCAAAAGCGGAAGCGGCTGAAGAAGGACCCTGGAAAGAAGATCAAGAGAAGGAAAAAAGGTGACGTGATGCTCACGTGCACGTATCGGCCTCGTCATTGTCCACCCTGGCTTGGCAATCTGCAGCAGCCGCCCTCCAGCCAGACCTGAGCTCTGCCCTCAGACGCAGATGCCCATGTTGTCGCAATTCTGTTAGGCTAACTGTGTGTGATTGCTGTTTCATTTTCCAAATCCATCTGGCTGATTGGGAGAACCTAGAATTTCCCATAGGCTTCCCTTGACTTTGTTTTTGCTTTTGTAGAGCTTTTGACCTTAGGAGCTCCCTTTCTCAGACCAGTTTAGATTTCTGATTTCAACTGATAAAACCCTAACTGAACATTTTGATCAAAGATTTTATAGAAGAATCTTTAATCAAAAGGGGGAGAATGCAGAACAGAATTTCAAATTCATACAAAATCCAGACTTTCTGGAGCCATGGAGGCTGACTGAGCCCCTGAAACCATTGTCCTGAGATAATCATTAAACCTTAAACCAAAAATATCCCCTGGAATCTTCTTAAACTGAACGGTACTTTAGCTTAACTAGTAAAGAATTTCTGCCTTGAACATTGTGTGCACAGATTTACCACATGGGATCAAATTGACCACAGCAACTTGAAAGATTACATAGGAACCTTCAGGGCAGTGAATTTATATTAATGGGAGAGGAGCCATTCAGAAAAGGAGGGTGACAGTGGTTGTACAACTTGAAGAATAGTCTGTGTCACTGAATCCTACACAAAGAAGCTGTTGAATTGTTGTGTATATTCTCAACAATAACAAAAATAAAATACTTAAAAAGAAAAAAAAATTCTTGTCACAAGCAGCCAAAGTCCTATTCTTTTTTTGTCCTTAACTTTTAATATCTGTTGTTGTTGTTATTTGCTATCGAGTCGGCCCCGACTCATAGCGACCCCTCCTTGGGTCTCCGAGGCAGTATCACTACAGAAGTAGGATTGCCCAACCTTCCTTCCGAGGAGTGTCTACATTTATGCTAATCAGGCCAAAGTGCAAAGTCATGTTGTATCTTTAAGTTTAGAGGAGAGCAAGGAGTCCTGGAAGCCTGCAGAATCTCTTCAGATCTGGTGCAAACCCTAATACGTGGTGCTTTCCCGTGGCCGTTCCTCTGGGCAGGAATTATAGAGACAAGAGTCTTGGTTTGTAAACTTCTTTTTATCACCTACACGGTCCATGTGTTGTAAGGAAAAGCTGTTTCAGATGAGTACGGAACATTTACACAGGAGCTCATTTTTAGTGGTGTGTCTGCCTGGTCTTCGTAGCACATAGCACTGCATATGTTAAAATCCTCCCCTCCTAGTGTGGCCTGTCACAGATGTGTCTGGGTAAGATCAGGTGGCTTCATGAAGACCTAACTTCATTTGCCAGGCAAAATATAATGCCAGGGACACTTTAAATGCAAATTTTCTTGCCCTATTTTTCTTCTACCTTAGCATAGGAATAATCTAGAAGAAACTCACAGACCAGTCTTCTGGAATTGGCAGGCATGTAGTGTCTTTGTGAAATTATGAAACTGCCAGAGTATCCCCACCATGGAGAGACCTTGGAAATTCTAGTGGTCAGGAGCTAAAGGTTCAAAACCTAGATTAGCTACTTGCTAGTTGTGTGGCTTTGGGCAGATTACTATGTCTGTCTGTTTTTATTTCCTCAATTATGAAATGAAGATAATAGTTACATTCATCTCATATGGTTGTTGTGAAGTGAATATTATTTTAATTATGAGTTAATAAACATGAAAAGCTTAGAGCAGTGCTTGGCAAAAATAAATATTCCATAGTGTTAGCTCTTGTTATAGTTATAATTATTATTGATTTAGCAGTTACTTTGTGCCAGGCACCATATTAGGTATTTTATATACAGTCTCGTTCAATTCTTACAGTGGCCCTATAGGTGGACTTTGTTGGCTCCTTGGTGCACAAGAGTTCACACAACTCTGAAGTCACAGGGCGAGAGAGCAGGAGAGCTTAAGTGGCTCCACAGTCAACTGTCCCACGAATTCAGCAGACTTGCCCTGAGCATGTTGTAGAAGCTTCTGTATAAGGCACCTTCAGAGGACTTCTTGTCACAGGGGGACAGATTGGGGATTGACAGATAACAAACACGAAGCTGTGCTCAGTCGACCCTACCCATCACCATGAAATTTGACCAGAGAGAAATGATGAAAGGGGTTAAAAAAAATCTTTCAGGATTGGCTGAGTCTTTTGTGGTTGTCGGGCTTTACATATAGTGATGTAATGGGAACACATGCAGTTGGTCAGATCTTACTAGTTGGGTAGGCACCCTTCCCCCCCACCAGAGTGAGGGTTCCCAGCCCCTCTGTTAAAGGCCCCTTTCTGCCCCTCTGGTGTTTTCAGAAGAAAACAAGGAAGAGAAACCCAGGAAGCTGCGCTACCACGATGAGGCCGACCAGAGCGCCCTGCAGAGGATGACCCGCCTCCGTGTGACCTGGTCCATGCAAGAGGACAGGTTGCTCATTTTCTGCCGAATTGCCAGCAACATCCTCAACACCAAGGTATTCGGCCCGCTGGGCTCCTGCTCCTGTCCAGCCCTGTGCCGGCCCTTCTCACAGGAGCCGTCTCTCCCGCCCGGGACCCCGGCAGGGCAGCTCGTGGTCCCCGGGGCCACTCATCACATCCATGTCAGCTTGACCACCAGGAAACACTGTTCCCAGAATCCAACAAATTAATGACATGTGATTGCACATTTCTGTCCAGCCTTTGGCAAGGTACATTTTTATTTTTATTTTTTTGCCCAGCCGCAGGCTAAATAGCTCAGAGCTGTTCTATCCTTCTCTCTCTGTCAGGAATCGGGTCCTTTCCTGCTTCCCTCCTCCCACCCTCATCTGCCTGAAAATCTTATTTATCTTTCAGTAACTGTTTACCTCAGGAAAGGCTTCATGGACCCTGCCAAATGAAAGTAATCACTGTCTTCTCTCTCTGTCCCCTGGATGTCTGTTTACCACGTTGCTTCTGTGCTTCCTTCCGGTAACTCTTGGCTCACTCGAGAGTGACTGCCCCTCAAGGCAGACGGACTTGTCTTACTTGTGTTTGTGGTTGCAGCCCCTAGCTTGGTGCCTACACGCAGTAATCACTTGGTCTGTGTTTGCTGAATCAAAGTGGAATAGTGGCACTGGTCTCAGCCTGGTCACCCGCAACCCCCATGCCTCCTGCACTGCAGTTCCCCACACCCGCTACACCCTCCCTGCCCATATCTCTCAATCCCAGGCAGATAGAAAGGGCCTCGCCAGCGATTGCTCTCTCGCTAGCAACCTCTTCCTCTTTCCTCTGATATCACAGCCTCCAAGAAGGTTCTGTAGCCTGAGACAGAGTGCATTCTCCCTGTCTTGTTCCCCAAAGAGGGCAGTCGAGGTGGACATGTGTCCCACCAAAAAACTGAGCTCTAGCATCATCTGGCCTAGGGTCCCTCCCAGATAGTCACATTGCCAGGTAGAATAGGGGCGGCAGCTTCATAAAGAACCCAGTTGGTGTCTGCTGGTCACAGCCATGCTGGCCAAGAGAAACCCAATCAGGTGTCCTGTGTCCAAGATGCTGTCCTACCTGCAGGTTCATTAGATCTTTTTTCTTGACCATTTTCTCAATATTCTCTCACCTGTCAGTCAGTCATCCGCTCCTAAATTCCAACCCAATCCCTTCTCTAAGGAAGAGCCTGGAAGGTGACGTGTTGTTCTGTCCTGAGTCTCCCAGTGGACTTTCGCAGCAGTCCTGGGAGGAGGAGCATGCGTCTGCTCTGACCTTGACGCAGCTGCAGGAAGCAGGAGCAGTCGTTCAGTGCTGTGTCTGCTGGACCCTCCACTCCCTGCTTGAACTTAAGCCAGGTTCTTGGGTCACCTTATTTTTGTGATTGTAAGAAAGTCACCTTGTTGCCAGGTCCCTTCCTTACCTCAGCTTTGTCTTGCTGTATATTATTGATTCAGCTGTTCCGCTAATTTAGTACATTTTTTTTCTACTAACATACCATATAATCATAATACAGAGACTGTTCCTAAGCATAGGCAACCATAGAACTAAGCCTTTAAAGCCCTCTTAACTAAACATATTTTTACACTTAAAACCTCCCCTAACGTATTACCCTTCCACTCAGTACTACCCAACACCCTCTGTGCACCTCTGACCATTACTTGCCAGAAAGGCACTCTTTTTCCCACCAGACACTGAGGACTTGACTTACTCTTCTCTTCCTAGCGCCAGACTTAGTGCTGCACATATAGTTGGTGACTGGTAAATGTGATTGAGTAAACATTTACTCAAAAGCATGAAGTAACAGTTCTGAGTATTCTCTGAGGAAAGAGGCTCAATCGAACCAGGCTTTGAACTAGCTCAAAACAGTTCAGTCATAGCTGACAGAAACAAGGGCAGAGTACATGTTGTATGGCAACCAAAGCTCTTGCATCAGATCTTGACCAGAGTTGGAAGCAGGTGAGAGTGCCCCACTCAGATATGGTGGCCGACTGGCACTGCTGCCTGTTTCCTACTCAAAATCCAATGCAGAAGAGATTTTGCTACGCAACGCATATGGTACCCGTTTTCATTGGCCTTGACTGAACAGTTCCAAACTCATTTGAGGCCCTGGAGCTGGTGGCATGGTGGGCAAGATGTTTGGCTGCTAACTAAAAGGTCAGTGGTACAAACCCACCAGCTGCTCTGTGGGAGGAATACAAGGTAATCTACTTCCATAAAGATTTATAGCCTTGGAAACCCAGTGGGGTCACTGTGAGTTGTAATTGACTCGATGGCAGTGGGTTTGGTTTTTGATTTTTACGTTTATTCCCCATGCTGTGGCCCAGGATACTGATTTTCTATCTTGGCTCTGTGTTTGATCCAGGTGAAGGGCCCATTTGTCCCCTGGCAGGTCGTGCGGGACGTTCTGCATGCTACCCTTGAAGAGTCTTTGGATAAAACGTCTCATTCGGTTGGACGAAGAGCTCGCTACTTAGTGAAAAATCCACAGGCCTATCTGAACTACAAGTAAGCCGTATTTGAAAGTTCATGACTACAAGACAAGGTTGTTCCAGTGCTTCTAGTTCATTCTTTACTCTTCTCTCATCCCATTTGCTTAAGATTTCTTGCGGAAAATCCAGATAAAGCACACTGGTTTGTCCAGTAGTTTTTTTGATTGTTGGAGTTTATTGGTGAGATTGTCCTTGATCATCTGAGGACCAGGTGTGATTCTAGATACCCTGAGTGCATGAGAGGATATGGACATTAGAAAAGCCTTACGAAGTAGCTGCTATTACCCATTTTTACAGGTGAAGAAATGGAGGCTAGTCAGACTAGGAGACTTGCTAAATATCACATAGCTCTTGTTATGTGTTGTCGAGTCATCTCTGACTCCTAGTGACCCCTCCTTGGGTTTCCAAGGCGGTATCACTACGGAAATAGATTGTCTAATCTTCCTTCTGAGGAGTGGCTGGTGGGTTTGAACCTCCAGCCTTCTGGTTAGCAGTCAGGTGCCTTAGGCACTACACCACCAGAGCTCCTTCTTCAGCTCCCTAACCAAAAAAAAAAAAAAACCACTGCAGTCGAGTCAGATCCAACTCATAGTGACCCTTCCTTGGGTTTCCAAGGCAGTATCTCTACAAAAGTAGATTGCCAACCCCTTCCTTCTCAGGAGTGGCTGGTGGGTTTAAACCGCCAGCCTTCTGGTTCGCAGTCAAGTGCCTTAGGCACTGCACCACCAGAGCTCCCATCACACAGCTAGTATATGGTAAAAGGAGCTCTAGTGGTGCTGTGGTTAAAGCATTGGGCTGCTAACCAAAAGGTCAGTGGTTTGAACCCACCAGCCACTTTCAACCACTTCACAGGAGAAATATGAGGCAGTCTGCTTCCATAAAGATTTACAGCTTTGGAAATCCTAGGCGGCAGTTCTACTCTATCCTACAGAGCTACTATGAGTAAGAATCAACTTGATGGCAGTGGGTTTTGGTAGTATATGGTGAAGGCAGATTCCCAAAACCAGTTTTCCCACTGGAGAGCTGCTCTCAATATTAGTGCATTGGTGGTTCATCACACAGCTCAGCCCAAGAAGAATCTAGATAGGACACGGGTCACTGAACAGAATGCACTCAGCCACGTTTCCCAGCAGAGCCGAGTGCCTCCCAATCATGGCCTGCACGTGTGGTGTTGCCAGCTGCCTGGGAGTCGCAAGCATCCCCTTGCAGCTGGTCTCTTGCCAGCAAGATTCTCCCCTCATTTCCTCACAGGGCCGTAAAGCCATTGCCAGCCCACCAGACCCCTCCTGCATTTCCTTCCACAAAGTGTAGGCTTGAGTGGGGGGACCAGAGAGCTCTGGAATATGCGTAGGGACACCCAAGCGGTGCAGCCACGTGAAAGGTGGGGCACGGCAGGGGCGTGATGGTGAGAGGATGAGCACCACCAACAACTGGCTGTTCCTGCCACAGATCAGTAGGATAGCTTCGCACCAAGTTGATGATTCTAGACCTTGGAGTACCTACAGCCAGATTCTAGAGAGAGATTGGGGCTAGCCCTGCATTGTGGAGGAAACTCACCTCTAGCCAGAATTTCTTAACCTCAACACCACTGACGTTTGGGACTGGTTCATTCTTTGCCGTGGGTCTATATGTGCATTGTGGAGTGTTTAGCAGCAACCCTGGCCTCTACCCACTAGCTACCTATAGCACTCCCCCCTCCTGTGTGACAACCAGAAGTCTCTCCAGATGTCTCTAAGGCAGATGTCTCTTGGCCGTGTTGAGACCTGCTGACTCAGACATACCAAGAGACCTGTGTGAACCCACCTTCCGCAGGCACAGAATCTCAGACTGTTTCAGCTGAAAGCCTCTGTCTTCAGAAGTGGAAGCAGGCCCGAGAGTGGACATGAGTTGGCCTGGTGACAGTGGAGTGAGAGCTGGAACTCGGGCTTCCTGACCCCTGGCTGTGCTCTCCCCGCCCCTGGCAGCATGGCGGGCAGTGCTGCAGGATTGGGCTCCAGCATTAGCAGGCCCCGGTCCAAGTCCTCACAGGGTTCTCCAGAGCTGTGGGAGCTGAGACGCCATTGTCACTCGGCGGCTTTTTCTCACCTGTGGAGCAGGACATGAATACTAACAATAACCACAGCTGTCCTGCCTGCTGCTGCCCCTCGGTGTCTGCGTGAGCTCAGGCGTCCTTTACTTCACTGAACTTTAAGACTGAGGGAGTCTCAGCCTCGCGGGTTCTCTGTGAAGGTCCCAGTGCCAGGCTCATGGGAGCCCAGCAAACGGTGCTTGCTTTCTCTTTCATTTTGTTTTGAGCAACCAGGCTGTCTTTGGCAGCTCTGATGGCGTAGTGCCTAAGGCATTTGACTGCTAACCAGAGACTGGCAGTTCAGACCCACCAGCCACTCCTCAGAAGATTGGGAGATCTACTTCCATAGAGATACCGCCTAAGAAGCCCAAGGAGGGTTTCTAGAGTCGGATCTGACTCTCTTTACATCATGGACTATGGACAAATAGTGCTTTGGAGGAAATTAGAGCGCTTCGTAAAACTAGACAGCAGTATCTGCAGGATAAAAATTAATAGTTGCCTTCACAGAGGTCCTGACCAAGTCCCTGTGAGAGGCAGGTTGGGGACGCCGTTCTCAGTTTACACGTGGAGGGATGAGAGCTCAGAGAAGCTGACGTGGAAGATGGGAGCACAGGCAGGCTTGACTTGAATCCGGTTGGGCTGCCCTCAGATTCTTCATCTCAGAGCTGTAATTACCTGCCAGTCCATAAGGAAACTGTACTTCACATTTAGCTGAGAAGCGTTAGGGCGGGACTCTGACAGCTCTGCACGTTGACTCCATTGCAGTTCCCAGACCTCGTTTTTTATCTTCCCTCTCTGCAGGGTTTGCCTCGCCGAGGTGTACCAGGATAAAGTGCTTGTTGGGGATTTTATGAATCGCAAGTATAACTATAACGACCCAAAGGTAGGCCCCGTGCGGTTGAAGGGAGGCCGTGGAGACAGGCCGGGCCCTTGGGCTGTCGGTGATTCTGTCAGCCTTACAAACGTGACATTTTCCCGGCTTATTTGGGAAGTGTACTTGTCGGATCTTTGGTTTTGGACCATGTTTGATGTGGCTCCCAGCATCAGTGTTAAGGAATGGTTAGAATTTGAAGCGTCTCTTTGAAGTGGTGCTGTGCTTTGGGCCTGTTTGTTAAGAGAATAGGGCAGGTCTTGGGAAACACCAGGCAGCTAGACTTTCCTGGGAAGCTCACAGACAGGATAGGGGTCGTCTTGGGAGGACCTTTACCGACGTGCACTGTCCTGGCCAGGTGGGACTGCAGTGGACTGGCAGGGGGTCATTGACTGAGGGTCACAGGGGCCTGGAAGGTATGCTGTGAAAAAGGGGGCTGCCTTTCCAGACCCAGAGTTCCCTGCTCTTGGCTCAGAGTCACCCGGATGCCTGCTGTGTGTATGTCAGCCCTGCCCCAGGCCAGGCCATTGGTGTGGGGCTCCAGTCCTGCCCTCAGGGATTCCCGGGGAAGTGGCTCAGGCAGAGAAGCAGGTGGGCCCTGCAGAACAGTGATAGGATCCCTGAGAGCCCAGCACAGGCCAGCTGGGGCAGGGGGGCTCAGCGGGAATGGCTGGAAGCAAGTAACAGAAAACCCTACCTAACAGGGTTTAAGGCTTGATTTGTCCCAGGTACCAGGCAGTCCAGGCTGGTACAGCAAAGCAGCGATGCCACCAAGGACCCAGGCTGATCCTGTCACTTCACTCTCCATCCTTAGTGGACAGCTATCCCTCATGCCAATCACTTGACAGTTGCAAGTTGCCTACTATCACTCAGCTGTTCACAACAGAACCTGTGGGCAGGAAGCCATGAGAGAGGGACCGCACCAGCCACCCCACATGGCCCTTGTGTCAGGGAAGGACAGTCCTTTCCAGAAGAGCCCTCAGCAGCCTGGGTTATAGGGCTGGAAACAGCAGTAGCATAGGGGATCGAGGTTGTCATGATTGGCCTACACCTGGCCTGACTTACCCCAGAGGCTGGGCCTGTTGCCTCCCCACGATAAACTGGGGTTGACTTCATGAGTGAGAAAGATTGGAGGGGGCACGGTCTCGTGTTAGTGGCCTTTGAAAAGGAGCTGCCGCTGAACTGAGACCCGAAAGGGGAGGGAGCGGCTGGGGCAGATGCGCTGGAGGCCGGGTGCCCCAGGGCCCAGCACGCACCACCAGAGCCAGAGCCAGAGCCAGAGCCAGGCGGGTGGCAGCGAGAGGTAGGGGCAGGCCAACAGTGCCTCAGCAGCCACGGCCACAGTGGGGTTGGGTCCTGCAGCCCTGAACAGTGGGCCGACTTGATCACTTGCTTATCGGAAAGCTCGTTCTGGCCTCCCAGAGCTGATGTCCTGGAGGCTTGAGACTGGAGGTGCTGAGGCAGTGAGGAGGCTGTGCTGTGCTCCCTGTAAGAGCCAGGGAGGCCTGGGCAAGACGGCCGCAGCGCAGGGCTCAGGAGGGAGCCCCGTGCGAGAGCCACCAGCTGAGCATGCCGTAGAGGGTAGGAAGGGGAGCCAGGTGAGTGGCACCTCTCAGAGGCAGGGATGAGAGGGAGTCGCTGATTGGGAGGAGGACATCTGAGGTCAGGGGCTCACGAGAGAGTCCTGGGAGCAGTTCTGTGGTCCATCAGTGCGTTATTGGTACCAAGTGCTCTAGTTCCTGAACGTGGGGTGAGCATCTGCCACCTACCCTGACAGCCATGCCTGGTCGGGCTGCTCAGGGAGAAGGAAGGGCAGTGCAGGTGGTGGTACCAGTGCTTCTCACATGCAGCTCCCCCACAAGATTGTCACAGGAGGTTCCTGGGTGCATCTTAGCGAAACCTCCCTTTACAGAGAGAAAGCTTCACATTTCATTCTGTCACTTCCAAAGGTCTGTGCCAACGAGTTTAAAGAATTAGTGGAGAGGCTTAAAGAGAAGTTCAGCTCGTCCCTGAAGAGTCCGCACCTTGAAATCCCAGACACGTTGCAGGAGCTGTTTGCCAGGTAAGTCTCTTCCGGCTCGCTTGTGTGATCCCTGCCAGGCGAGAGCCGAAATTCCAGTGGCTGGAGGCTCCTCCTCTCGTCTAGCAGACACGGGAAGCCCACAGAACCGGCCGACTTGCAGTTGGCCTGGCAGCTGTTGGATCATGTCCTGTGCGCCTCTGGAGCACCAGCCTTCCACAGGTGGCTGGAAGGCAGGCAGGAGCCCCCTTCAGCCCCGTGACACCGTGCCTTCTGTTGCCGAGCCCCTGCTGCCAGCTGGGTTCACGCTGCTGCAGGGCCGCCGCGTCCCCTCACGAGCCCCTGCTGCCGCCTGGGTTCACGCTGCTGCAGGGGTTGTGTGCTTTGGCTCGTGCCTGTTTTACACGCGAGGAAACTCGAGACGTGCCGAGTGAAGGAGAGAGCTGCTGAACATTTTTAGAGCTGACGCATTTAGCTGCTTCTTGGGTTTTGGTTTTGATTTTATAGTAAACTAGTCCCCAGACTTCCCAAATGGCATGGTTTATAGTCAGTCTTTTTTTGAATAGTATTTTATTGAGTGTTTGGTGAAAGCTTACAAGAAGTTAGGTTCCCATTTGACAGTCCCCACACAAGTTGATGGGGACCTTTGTTACCTTTCTCACAGTGTGTTCTGTTTGTTCCATTTCCAGTATTATGGTTTCCCTGCCCTGTTATCTTCTTGCCTTTGCTGTTGTGTATTTGTTGACCTTTCTAGTCTCATGCTGATGTTTTTTAAGGGCACCGATCTTATAGGTAATATCCTTTATTTTGTGTGCCACTCTGCTGTCTCCCTTAAAGGTGTTTTCAGGGGGTAGGCTCTGTTGCAGGTTTAAAAAGTGTCTCAGGGCGATCATCTCAGCGAGTCCTCTGTTCTCCACTCTTCTAGTTTGTCTGGCATTTATTTTGGGTTTTTTTTTTTTTTTTTGTAAGAAGTAATTTATTAAGTCCTTCACATTTTTCTTCCATTCTGTCCATGACCAGCTACTGTGACCGCAGTCGGAACAGTCAGTGGTGGTAGGGGCACCGTCCACTCCTTCTGGCCTCAGGGTAGGTGAGGTGGTGCTCCTACAGAGAGAGTCATTGCTTCTGAGCTTTTGGTTACCTTGTTACTGTTTTGCTCCTGGCCAGCAGAGTCCTGTAGTCATGTGATAGATGGCTGCCCACAAGCTTTGAAGACCCCAGATGCTACTCACATCTCCAGGATACAGATCATGATTTTGTGAACTATGTTGTGCCAGTTGACAGTTGTCCCATGAGGCTGTGGTGTTTCAAGAAGCTTGTTTACCCGTCTGTAATTTATAGCCACACTTATTTCCAGTGAAGCTATGGAATACCTTTAGTCATAGAACCAGACGGTTAAAATAAAGATTTTTTTTTTTTTTAAAGGAGAGCTTGTGAATCACTTAGAGGAAAGAACAAGTAGCAGTTTAACATAAATTTGATCTTGAGCATTCTGGCAGGTGAGGCAAAAAAGAAAATGGTCCCATATTTTTCCTTGTAAATGACTAAAAATAGTTCACAGGTTTTTGTGAAAAGCTTCTTTTTCTTGGCACTAAATTTTAGAAAGAATTTACTATCATAAAGATAAATATTCATCTTTGATTTTGGTTTTGTGGAAACCAAAGAAATGGCCATTTAAAAAAAAAAAAAATCAATTCTGTGCTTTCTTCTTAGATCTGTTTCATTGCTGTGAACACAGTGAAATGATATTACATGACCCTCAAAAACTAGATGAGGAAATAGTCCGTGAGTCCAGTTAGTTCATGCAGCTGTTCTCTTGTATAGCTTCTTCCTGACTTCTTTCTTGTGCTTGCGTTTTAGTCACATGCGCCTGCAGCGAGTGCTATGCCCCTGCTCCCTGAACACATAGCAGTGAGCTCCTTGCCAGTTAAGGTGCCCCTTCACAGTTGCCAGTACAAACATTTCTCACATCAATCCTTGCTTTTATCAAATGCTCATTTGGTGGCAGAACATGGTATTTTCTCGTTTAAATTTGCATGTATAATATTTCTTAGTGAGTTTAACATTTTTTCTAGTATTTTTGGCAGTAAACGACCATCTTAAGCAAGCAGTGGCCAAGTTAGGTTCTGCTTTGTTTCACTGACACTCTTTATTTTTTATGTAGATACCGAGTTTTGGCAATTGGCGAAGAAAAAGATGAACTCAATAAAGAGGATGAACTTAATAGGCAAGTACCGATCAAGTGCCTTTCCCTCACCTGTTTGTTTAGGTGGCCTGAACGGCTGTTCACCCAGTGTAGCCTACCACCTGTCTTTGTAGGTAGAGTTTATTGAAACATACACTATCTGGCCCTTTACAAAAGATTTGCTAGCCCATAACCTAGCAGAGTACTGGTCTAGGCTTAAGATGGGTTTGGGAAAAACGTTTTGAGCTCCTATCCCGTGAGCTGTCCAAGCACAGCTCTAGTTCAGACAACCTTTTTTTTTCCATCTTGGAAAATCAGTATGAGCTCAGCCTGATTTCAGCTCTGTTGTTTGTGAGAGGCCTATTCCCATTGGAGAAAAACATGTTTGAAATTGGAGACAAAGAAGTCCACATGGGCTTCATTTGTTAGTTGTTGTATAAATGAGTTCCCAGGTGAAAGGTGTCACCTTTCACCCACTAGATTGAAACTTTTTACCTGCAAAAGTTGACCAGTTAGGAAAATCTAAAAAGCATCGTTGATTTTTCTCTTTGGGATGCTTTGGCTTTCATGTTAGGTTTTATGCAGTTGACATCTTTTTCATGAACATTGACTCTCCCGTGATGTGCAGGAGCTGTGGCCCGCGGCCTCGTGTTCCTCTGGCACACACTGTCTCTCTCTCTCTCCCTCTCTCAGCATGGACGACATCCACGCCCTGCTGCTCCAGAACCTCATCCAGAGCACACTGGCCCTCTCGGACAGTCAGATGAAGTCCTGCCAGTCGTTCCAGGTGGGTACTGGGCACTCGGCGTCACGTCCTTGCAGCACTGATGGGCCTTGGGAGCCCCGTGTCCGGTGAGGCTTTGCTTCACAGACTTCTCAGCTTTGGGGCCTCGGGGCGTGATTCATGCCCTCTCTTATTTCATGTTTAAAGAATGGGGACTGGATCCAGTGCCTCCAAAATCCCTCTGGTGCTGAGGTTTTCAGTCTGCTGCTTAAGACAGAAAATTAAGCAGAAGAGGAAATGAGGTGTGACAGAGGAACTCGGGAGAATTGCGCTGTGTAGTGTATCTTTTCAGATTCTGACTGTTGAGAGATTTTGTTAGAGATCACTGGGAAAGCTGCCTTTCTGTGGGCAGTGAGCCTTAGGCGTCTCCCAAGAATATAGTCACTCTCTGATGCTCTGCCATATCATGGCCAAATGAAGATGAAGACAGAAAGCAAATCTCATTTCACTCCAGACTGAGCTGGGGAAGTTAGTGGTATTATTACTCTTTCACAAATATGGAAACTTGAAGTTCAGAGAAGTTAAAAAGACACACCAGTATCACACAGCTTATTTGTCAAACCAAGGTCTATTTGGCTCTAGATCCCAACCAGAGAAGCTGAAAGGATCCTGTTCCCCAAGCCCAAGCACCTGTTCCCCTGGTGTGTTAAGGTCACAAAGGTAGATTCGAGGGAGAACCTGTATACTTCTGTATTTAATCTCAAACTCTAAAACCAGCTCCTCTGGCTTACCTTCCAAATCAGCCCTGATTGGAGTGTGAGGGGAAGAAAGTAAGACAAGGCAAGGATGATACTTTCTAATCCCACTGATGGGCTTAGACTGTGGCGTCCCACACTGTTGGGCACCTGAGAGTCAACACAGGACCTTGTTTAGCACATGACCCCAGACCTCAGCCCCAGCAAGTCCATCAGAAGTAAAGAGGGTGTTGGACCCTCACACATGCATGGTGCCCACCTCCAGGATGCTAAGGCAGATGGTCCATGGACCACCCTTCAGGAAACGGATGTGGCCCTAGCTTGGATATTGCTACTATTTCCCAGGCATGTGCTTTGTCACTTTGGTTATGAGGGGCACGGAGGAAGGTTGGGGAGGATGGAGGAAGGTTGGGGAGGATGGAGGAAGGTTGAAGAGGATGGAGGAAGGTGGGGAGGATGGAGGAAGGTTGGGGAGGATGGAGGAAGGTTGGGGAGGATGGAGGAAG